TCACACCGCATGCATGTGAAAGTTGGATAATGAGTAAAGACCAAAGAAGAATTAATGCATTTGAATTACGATGTTGGTAAAGAATATTGTAAGTACCACGGACTACTAGAAGAACAAACAAATTTGTCTGGGTGAAGTACAACCAGAATGTTCCTTAGAAGCCAGAATGGACCCCAGTCCCTGGAGAAGGACATCATGCTTGGTAAAGTGTAGGGTCAGTGAAAAAGAAGAAGACTTAGAACTGACTAGAAGGCACCTAACCACAATAACATCGGACAAATAGTCTACATGAACCACAACCTCATCTACACTGAGACCATAAGAGCAAGATGGTGCCTGGCTATCCCTACCAATTGTTCTAATTATGCCACAATAGTTGAACTCTGATAGAATGGAAGAAAATTATACAGAACCTAAAATTACTAAACACACACACAAAGACTTACTCAATAGTTGTTAATAGAGAACTCCTGAGACCACTGCCCAAGACAATATTCACATCTTGAAATGCAACTTACACTTGAGGATTCCCTTATAGCTAAATAACAGATTACCTCACAAAATAATGACTGTCATTTTTAAGTACAGTTATGTGCCAGGGAAATCGATTCCGGCTCATAGTGGAACCCTGTATAGGGTTTCCAGGCTTTTAAATCGTTACAGGAGCAGAAGGCCTCATCTATTTCCCACAGAGCAGCTAGTACCACATATCATGTGGTTCTCAGTCCAGTGCTTATCATATGAAGCTACTGCGCTCCCCATAAGTACTGTGGGCCTTTAAAAAAAACCCTTATATCAGACTAACTGAACAACAATCATTTTAAAACAAAGATGAGACTGCAAGAGGGCAGGGCAACTAGATTAATGGAAATGAAACAAGCAGAATGGAAATAATGAGACACACTGTGAAAAATGTAACTAATATCACTGTTGCCAATCTGTGTAGAAATTGTTGAAAGAGAATCTAAACTGCTGTGTAAAACTTCATCAGACACACACACACACACAAAATATTTAAAAAAAAAAAAGTTAGGGGAAATAAATTTCAACAGTTCTCCACTGTCTATAGAAGCATATACCAGTTCTTTATTGTGACATCAAAGATTTTGGGTGATCTAGAACTAGATTAATTTTCTAGTTTCATCCTCAACTGTACATCCTATTACCACCACTCTGCCTCCAAAGTGCTATTTGCATTTTGGATAGGATAATTCTGCTTTGTATAGAACAGTACATTTAGCATTCCTGGTCCCACCAACTAAATGCCAGTAAGGCCAACTCCCAGTGGGTCCTTCACCTGCCAGTGCCTCCACACAGTCACAAAGGTTCCAGAGGCACAGAGCAGTATTTCCCCATTTAGAATAAGACTAATCATGGTCCTTTGTACAGACTTAGTTCAGAACTCTGTGCTTTCCCTTACATTATCTACTTACTAGAAAACACTTCTCCTTACTCAATTTTTAACTGTCATTCATAGTCTATCCCAAATGTAAAGAATATCAAAGGGGGAAGAGACGGTAGAGATCATCTGATCCACATTATTAGATTTGCAAACTATGGTCCAGGGAAGTTAAATGACTAGACCATGTTTCTACAACAAGCAGGCATTGAAGCCAGGGTTACAATTCAGGTTTACTGACCCATGCATTGGCTCTTCGACTACAGTGACTTATGAAGTCTTTTCCTAGCCCAAAGATGGAATTAATTACTCCTTTTCTGTGCCCCTAAAGAAATTTGGAGTCCTGGTGTGATGCTACAGGGTAAGGACTGGACTTCTAACCACAAGTTTTGATAGTTCAAACCCACCAGCTCCTTGGAAACCCTATAGAGGGTCACCACTGACTTGACAGAACTTAACAACAAAGTGATATGCACATAGCAGTCTTTGACAACTCATGATGTACTCTGTACTGTAACTAGTTCTGGGCATATCTGTCTCATGACCCTCACCAACCTGGTAAGCCCCTTGGGACTGCAACCATGGCCAATCCTTTGTGTATCACCTAGCACAGCATGTTCCATATGTTGTTGATGTTAAGCGCCGTCGAGTCAGTTCAGACCCATAGCGACCTTGTACAAAGTTTCTGAGGCTGTACATCTTTGCGTGTGCAGAAAGTCTTAACTTTCTCCTGTGGAGTGGTTGATGGACTCAAACCACCAACCTTGTGGTTTGCAGTCCAGTACTCATAGTAGACACTCAAAAGAATTATTAATTCCCATCAGTAAATAGTAAGTCAGATGCAAATTATATCTGTAAGGTTCCCTTTACTTGGAAAACTAGCACCTAAGTTTTATTTGAACTGATTTTTTTACGTTTCATCTAGATATGTTTCATCTAGCTATGTTCCCCAAACAACACAAAGAACTTACCTTTTCTATACGGCCTCCAAAAAGTCTTCGAGCTAGCAGCTTGCCTGCCTGTATGGCTACAGGAGTCAGTTCTGGTTTTCCTTCCAAAATATCCCCAATAGCGTAGACATAGGGCACATTGGTTTGTTCCACATCATTTACTGGTATTTTGCCATTCCTAATAGTTTGTGGGGAGAAAAAGTTATTATTATGACAAGTGCTGCAGCTCTATAGGGTAAATATTAAACTAGTAGCCACAAAGTCAGCAGTTCAAACCCACCAGCTTCTCCTTGGGAGAAAGATTTGGCTTTCTGCTCCCACAAAGATTTAAAGTTTCAAACACCCTATACATAGTTGCTATGAGTCAGAATCAACTTGATGGCACATAACTACAACAACACTCTACTGCTAGATGGTTAATACCAGTCCAAGAGAAAAGGACTAAGTACAGAGAAGAAAGAACTCCCTCTAAGTACTCAAGGACCTCAAGTTATTGTCTATAAGAGCAATGGCTTTAAATAATGAGGGCTTCTATAGCTCCAAAGAGTGTACTTTTCTGATTAGTAAAACCATGCATGCTTTTTGAATACGTAGGATCAATCCACACTTTCCCCACAGTTACATTTAGAGCTTTGGGATTTCTCTCCTTGTCTGACCAAGGACTTACTCTAAATCAGACAGCTGTTGTTGGGTGCCACTGAGTCCATTTTAAATCACAGTGACCCTGCAAAGGGTTTTCAAAGCTCTAAATCTCTATACGGGGAGCACAGTGGCTCCAGAGGATAAGCACTGGAGTGTGAACCATAAAGTTGACTATTCAAGTCCACGAGTCGCTCTATAGGAGAAAGATGAGGCTTTCTGCTCCCACACAGATGTACAGCCTCAGAAACCCTACACAGGGTCACTATGACTTGGAACCAACGCAATGGTACTTAACAATAACAAATCTCTATAGGAGTAGAAAAGGAGTTCTGGTAGCATAGTGGTTACGAATCAGTCAGCAGTTCGAAACTAGCAGCTGTTCCGCAGGAGAAGGATGAGGCTTTCTGCTCCCGTAAAGATTTGTAGCCTCAGAAACCCTGTACAGGGTCGCTATGAGTCAGAACCAACTCCACGGCACATAACAACAACAACAACAGGAGTAGAAAGTCTCATCTTTCTTCCGTGGAGTGGCTGGTGAATTTGAACTGCCAACCATGTGATTAACAACCTAATGTATAACTCATTACCCCACCAGGGCTCCATATCAGACAGCATACATATATATTCCCCAAACTATCTTTTAAAATCACTATTTAATACATGAGCTCTTCGGGCACACAATGAAGAATTACTGATTGATGAGAAACTTCATACTACAAAGCTGACATAGTATTTACTCCAAGATCAATTGGTTGTTGCTGTTAACTGCCATTGAATCAGTCTGACTCATGGTGAATGCAGTACAGTGGATTACTTCAGATGGATCTTCTACCCATAGTCCTTGTAACTTCCAACAAATAACTTTTCTCTTCATAGATCTTGATAAGAAAAGGTGGGAGAAGCAGCTGACAGGGTGATGTGATTCAGTCTGTGATTGTTAACAGAGTTCATTGTGATTTTTCCAATCTTGAAATGGGGGTGGAAGGGTGGGGTAAGGGAAATGGGGGCGGATCTCATTACCATCAAAGAAGAGCCAGGAGTGAAGCATGTCATTTGGACCCAGAGACCCCTCTGGACTGAACCTCTTCAACCCAGAGACAGAAAACTATGACACTGGATAAGTGGCAGAGGGCAGCAGCAGCAGAACCAAGAACCAGAGCATGGTTTACATGGAGTAAGTAAAGCTGAGTGACTGTGGGCAGGAAGTCTGTTTGCAGAGTGGAATGCCACCAGCCACTTAATTGGGAGGCAGCTAGGTCTGCTGACCCATGAACTAGAGTTCAGTGCCTTCATGCTAAGACTTATGGTGAGTGGTGGGTCCTGTGGGCATTCACCAGCAGCCCTAAAATACCTTTGAAGCACGGGCCAAGCAGAGTCCTGTCTGTGGCCATGACTGAGGAGAACCTGTCCTAAGTGGAACAACTTTGCTTTATGTATTTCTGACCCTAAGTTATAAACTGGTAACTTCCTAATAAACCCTGTAACTGTGAGTACTGTCTCTGTGACCATTACAATGAATTATGGAAATCCTGGTGTGGCACTGTAGGATAAGCACTAAACCACAAGGTTTGTTTGAACTGCAAGGTCAGCGGTTCAAATCCACTAGCTGCTTCTTGGAAACCCCATACTGAGTTACTGTGAGTTGAAAATTAACAACAAGAATCATGAATAGAGTGCTATGGAAAAGATGGGTGATCCTATTCCTTTGTTCCTTGCACAATGGGGCAAAACACTGCCTAATCCTGTGGCACTGATGGGTTGTGAATTTGGACTGTTTTTGTTAAGTCCTGTTCAAGTTAGTTCCAACTCATAGCTAGCCTGTCGAGGATGTCCAATGAGTGGCTGGTGGATTTTAACCACTGATCTTGCAGTTAGTAGTCCAGTGCTTATCCTACAGCAGCAAATGAGGATAGGATTGTTGTTATCCATAGGGCTTTCATTAGCTGATTTTCAAAAGCAGATCACAAGGCCCGTTTTCCTACCCTATCTTTGGCAGCTGTCCAGTCTCATAACAGCATGCAAGCCTCCACTGATAGACAAGCCCAGAAAGCAAGCCCAGGTCTCCTGCAGGGAAGGAGAGTGCTACCGCTGAACCACCATGGTACCCAAAGCAGAGCAATAAAGCATCCAAATTGTATACCTTATTAATCAAATGGAATTTCAGAGGAAAGCTATTGTTAAATTTGGGTTTGTGCAATGATCCATCTATACTTACTTCTCATTGATTTTGACACTAATCTTCTCCAAGCCAATTTTTCTTGTACAGGAGTCACGACCAATTGCTAATAAAACCTATTTATAGAGAAAACACAAATAATCATTACTAGGAGTAAAAAAGAGCACAGATCCTGCAGACATTAAAAGAATGATAATAGAATATTATGAATAATTTATGATAATAAATTTGATACTTAAATGAAACCCATTAATATGTGAAACACACAAACTGAACTTACACACACACACACACACACACACACACAATCTGAAGTAACTCTGTATCTTCTTTTCACAAATTGGAGTCCCTGAGTGTTGCAAACAGTTAACACGCTTAACTGAAAAAACTGGCCACTGAAAACCTTATGAGTAGCAACCGACCATAGTGTGATACAGTACTGGAAGATGAGTCCCTAGTTTGGAAGACTTTCAAAACGAGAGAGAGAAAGAGCTGCCTCCTCAAGTTGATCAAAATGACTTGTACGGAACATAGCTTTTGGGAACCTCATTTGCTGATGTGGCACAACTCACAATGAGAAGAAACAGAGCAAACCTCCATTAATTAGAATATGAGACATCTGGGAAGATGACTGACTAGTCTACCCAGACCCTCTACAAAAAAGACAGAGACCAAATTTTCGACTGTAAAGGATTTTAAGGGTTGTAAATCTATAGGGGAGCAGAAAGCCTCATCACAACAGAAAGTAAAATGAAAAGAAAACTCACAAATAAATGAACTCAGTACAGAAAATTATTTAGAACAAAATAACCAGCAGTATAATAACAACAAGGAGCTGTG